ACACCCAACATAACTTCCTTTTGCTCACTTTTACAAAAATGTCATACCATTTTGCAACCTTTTCATACACAAGGGCTAAAATGTAAATAATCTTCATACTTAAGGTCAACTTTACAAATACCTCATCATTGGGATGTTACAATTCTCCTAAAATTGAACTAGACTTCGTCCTCGAAGTCGGCCATCGCGAATAACTCATGATAATGCTACCGCATCTTAGCCTCTGACTCCCAGGTCCACTTAGAGCCTCTCTAATGTTGCCACTGAAAATTTACCAAAGGTATCTCTTTGTTGCACAGGACCTTCATCTTTCTCTCCAATATAGCCATCAGCCTCTCAATATAATTCAGATGCTCATCGACCTGAATATCATCCAGAGGGACCACTACCTCACAGTCCAACACACACTATCGCAACTCTGAGACATGGAAAGTGTTGTGGATCTGACTGAGCTCACTCAGCAAATCCAACCGGTAGGCAACTCTTCTTACACTGGCTATCACACTGAATGGTCCAATATACCGGAAACCCAATTTCCTCTTCTTCATGAAGCGTATCACACCCTTCCAGGGTGAGACCTTCGGTAATACCATATTATCGACCTGAAATTCCAACTCTAATCGGTTCCGATCAGCATAAGTATTCTACCGACTCTGATTTGTCTATAATCTCTTCTTGATATATTAAATAAGCTCCATGGTCTGAATGACTACTTCGGTCCTTCCCATGATCTTATGACGAACCTCTCCCCAACATACCGGGGTACGACATCTCCGACCATATAAGAGCTCAAAAGGTGGGGCACCAATGTTGGAGTGATAGTTGTTGTAATAAAACTCTGTAAGAGGTAGGTAGGAATCCTAACTCCCACCAAAATCTATGACACAAGCCCGTAACATATCCTTAAGTTTTCGGATGGTCCACTCACTCTAACCATCAATCTGCGGGTGATAAGTAGTGTTGAAATGTAGCCTCATGCCAGTTCCTCATGGAAATTATGCCAGAATCGAGAAGTGAGCCAGACATTTCGGTCTGAAACAATGGAGACCGGAACCCCATGATGAGAAACAATCTCTCGGACATACACATCGGCCAAGTTTTCGGCCGAAGAGCTCTCCCAGATGGCCAAAAGTGGTCACTCTTGGTCAATCGATCCATGATGACCCATATAACATCAGAACCCTTGGTCGTCTTCGGAAACATGGTGATAAAATCCATGGTTATTCCTACTTCCACATGAGAACCTCCAAAGACTGCAGCTTGCCATGCAGCCTCTGATGCGCGACCTCTTATGACACAATACTTTGTTCATAAGTAATAAAACAACTATTAAAATAAATAAATATTTTCAAAATATTTTTAAACTAAATATTTTGTCATTTATTTGTTTGGATATATTCTATTTTTTGTATTTGTTTTGATGTGCAGGTGATATTTGTTTAATTTTTGAGGGTGAAAGTGTAACTTTATCGAGTTTACACGCGGGTCTTCGGGTCATCATCAACCCGGTGTATATATTGCTCAGCTTATTTATATTTGTCTTTTTATTCAAGATTAGAAGCAATCATTTCTCAACTCTCTCCCTCGTTCTCTTAAAATATCTCTATTTAGGGTTTTTGTTCACTGTATAGATTAAGGTTCTTCATAGATCTCATATGTTCTTGTGATGTTTTAGGTTAGATTGAGTGATACATTTAGAGAGTAGATTAGGTGTTTTTGTAGTGAGGTTTATTTTGTAAGCACATGAAAACATTCTGGTTCTTTTTCCTATAATGATATAAGAATCGTTGATGTTGGGAAAGTTTTTTTTTCTACATTTTTCATGGTATCAGAGATTTTGTGCTATGATTTTCTTCTTTGATAGTCTTCGGTGGTTTGACTGCTTGTCATACCTTAGAGGTAAAATCTGTCTATTTGTGTTGTTGTTTTTTATGGTTATTGATCTTCGATCATCTTGTTCTATACATTCTGGGTTGATTTAGGTTTTCTTGTAAAACTCTGAATCGTTGATGTAAACTGTGAAGATATAGGGTTTCTGGTTTTGATTTAGGGTTTTCGGTGTTGATCTTTCTAAATAGAAAATTCTATTTCTTTGCCTTTTCTGTTAAGATCTTGGTTATTTCAAGTATTTTTTTGTCATTGCAGATCCTTTGAAGAACTTGTCTCTTATTGTCGATCGTTGTGATCCATCTACGATCGGTAAATCCCTGGTTAGTTCTAAAATAACTCTCTAGGTATAAGATTTCATCACCGATTAACTCTAGATGGAATAGAACTAAGGGAGCCAATTCGTTCTCTGTAATACACACTTTGGAAATGGATAATAGGACCTTTGTGAGAGGTCCTTGTTCCTTTCTATATATTCTTCTTAGCTGTAGATGTGGGAGATCCTGGTGTCTTTAGTACACCAATTAGTTGTTTTATTTTTTGTGTTTTCTTGACTCTGTTCTGGACATCCTAAACCCCAACATACCATGGTGTTCATCTTGATTTTGGCATTACAATAGTTTGTTTTTAGGTTTACTTGATTTCTTGTTGTATTTCTATGATTATCTCATTTCTTGTCTGATAGGATGACTACCCTATTATTGAATCTTCTAGTGGAGCTAAAATTGATCCTGCGAATAATTTTGATGATCCTCTTTATGTTCTTTGTTCTGATAATGCTTTCACTAGCGTGATTTGCTTCATTTGGCTAGGAACTGAAAATAATAGGATATGGTGCAGTTCCATGATTACAGCCTTAAAAGTTCGTAATAAAGTTGACTTTACTGATGGAACTGTCCCTAAACCTAGTAACGATCCTATTAAAGAAGGTAAATTGGACCAAGATAAGGCCATTACCTGTTCTTGGATTCTTGGATCTATATGCTAATCATGGTTGTTCTGAAAATGCTCAAGAAATATGGGTTGATTTTTGTGAAACCTACCATAAGGCTGATTTTTAATGTGCATCAGAAAATCAATTCACTCACTCATGGTAGTTTGTCTTTATCTTATTACTTTTAATAAAGTTGATTCTTATTGGAAAGAATTTGATGGATTAACT